AAACCTTTTAACCCGTTTCCTTTCTAATGACCCGCTAGAAACCCGCGTACGCTGGGAAACCAAAAGACGCCCTAAGCAAGCACGCTTGGAGCAGAAACCAAGCTGAAGAGAAAAATCAAGAGACGCGAAGCAAGAGAATCAAACATCCAAGTTGAAGAGGAGGATCCTCCATCGCGAGATTTCTGTGCGAAATAGGTATGGGTATTCCTAGGTGTGGTTGTTTCAAAATCTGAGCCATGGGTTATTGATTTGGGGGTTCTGTGATAAGTTTTGAAGAAGAGGATCCTCCATCCCAAGATTTATGTGCGAAATAGATATGGGTAAGTCTCTGCTCCTAATTGATTTGAGAGAAAAAAAAAAAGAATTTGATTCGTCTCTGCTTCTAAGAATTTTATCATTATAGGAATATTTCTTATGTTTCTATTGATTAAGAATTCTAGAATAAATGTTGTTACAAACTTTGTGGAGATGTAGAAGTGTAGGAAGGTTGTGAAGTCAGCCGTTAGCCTTGTTGCTTCTAGTTTAATGATGTGGCTCTGATAATGTGTGATTAATAGTTTGTACCCTTTGCTTAATTTAGTATGAAGTTTTTTGGTTGGAAGATTTTGTTAGGTTCAGTAACTTGTTTCTTTTTCTTCAGTAAAGGTAAATATAATGGGGTGCTAGTTTGCATTTCTTGTTAGAGCAAGAAAAAAAGTTCAAGGTTCATATTCACAACTTCTTGCTTGTAGAAGTATGAGGTTTGCTTTTACAAGTCTATGTTTTTTTCCTTCTTTAAATGTATCGGTTGTGGGCCTTGTGTTGTTGTTTAATTTCACGGTGTGAATGCAGGAAACCCAGACGACCAAGGACATGGCTAGAAAGGTGTCTGCAACAACACAAGATGTGTGTGTTCTTTTTCGGTCAAATTCGGATATTGTTCCTTCCACTACAAGGAAGTGTTTAGGTTTTTTGTAATCATGTACATGTAAAACGAAACTCAATTTTCAAGTGTCAATAAATTGTTCGTAATTATCTGTTCAAAGGTTTTTAAACTGCTGTGAAGAGGTTGAGTTTTTCCTATCATTGTCAATGGGTTAGTTTCATGAGAACCCGAAGAAGAATATTAGACTTAGCACAAACTGGAAAGAAAAAAAAAATGGAGGCATTACAGGTTGCTGCAACCTGCTCACTAAAATTGGAAGCAAGTTAAGTTTCACAATGTGTAGATTATAAGATTGCTAACTTCCTTTCACAGCCACATCTCCCTTGTGCAGAAACAAGCAAAGCACGACAGCCAAAAGGAATATTCAATTCAATAGAGAAAAAACATATAGAATGGAAAGCAGTACCCATAACTGTTTATCAATGAGAAATTCTACAATGTGAATGGTATGATCATTTTGGAGAACGAGAGCTCGCTCGCCTTCTCGTTCCGAGTAGAGCCTCTCTTGGCCATGGCAATTTTATGAGGCTTCACAGCATTAGAGACCCTCTTCGTTTTCGTGGACACTGAAATCTTAGGGTTTGATTTAGGAGGAGCCATTAATGAATCAATTTCAAGCAGAAATTAATTGATAAAGACTCATAAAAACTAAACGAAATAAAATGACACTAGAAAAAGTAACGAATCTAGCTATGGTGATGAGATGAACAGAGCTAGCTAAGACGGGGTGGGTAGGCGGTATTTATAGAGAACCTAGGAATGAGGGTATAATGGGTATTACAAGGAAAGTAGCTGTTACGCGTCAAGTACTGTCATCACATAAGTGCAAGCTGTCGTTTTAAATGCAACCCCCGTAAATACAGTATTTTTTTATATTTATTTTGCAGAGTCTTTTCTTTTTCCTTTTAGCAATTGAATTAATTAATTAATTTGTTTGTGGTTTTCTTTTTGCTGAACAAATTTGTTTGTCATTTGATGTAGGAAGGCAATCTAATCATGGTTTTGTTAATTGCGAACGAAGTTCGAATACCAAAATTTATTTATTTTTTAAATAATGAAATTGCATTTGTAGTTCAATTCAAGTGATTAAAAGTAGTTAGTTTTGTCGAGTAATGCTAAATGAATCCTAAAATTAATTGAGTACACCTTATTATCAAATTATTTATTGAATTACTAATTTACTCTAATATAAAATGATCAAATAGAATATATTAAATTATGAAATAAATTTAATTTTAACAAGTACACTTTACTAACACGGATCCTCTGCTTGTTTTTACTCGATTTGCTTGACTTTTCTTTTGTATCTGAAGTCATGGTTGGAATCCCCCCTCTTTAATATTGTTGCTTCATTCTTAGATTATCACTTCTTCTTCTTCTTTTTTCATTCTCTTCCATTTTTTCAATTGAAATTTTTTTTGCTTCTAAAGAAAATTTCAAATGACAATTCGGGTATATGTAATTGACCAATACATGTATATATACATAGAAAGATAAAAAGAAATTTTAAAATTTTAAAAATAAAAAGAGAAGAATGAGGGCGTAGTGAGGGAGAGAGGAATGTGAGCAGAGTGAGCAGTAACTACTTTCCCTTAATTACTTAGTGGTGTGATTTATTATTTTATTTTTGTAATGTAGCAAATTTTATTAATCTACCCTTTTTTTTTTGGTCAAGACTTATTAATCTACCCTTATATTGTGAGATTCTAACATTTTTGTTATAGACGCGCTCCACGTGGCTTAAAGGTTTCTCATGTTTGCGTATTTGTTGAGAAACTAACAATTGATATTTTTCTTTCAATCCTGTTTTTTAAGGAGATTTATCATAGATTTTTCATAGTCGTGTTATTATTATGAATTTTTATAATCCTTTTTGTTAATATCTCATTAATATTATACAATTCTAAAGTTTAAACAAATCTAAAACTATGGTATAACGGTACTCAGAGTATCTACAATCATGCTCTCTATTTTTTTAGTTAAAATTTAGCTAAAAACATATAAAAACTATTTTAGGAGCTCTCTATAAAATTTTAACTCCAATCATACTCTCTAGTTTAGGGACTCATAAATGCTATAACTCTTTTTTAATTGGTCAATCTCTATAAAAAATAATTAGCATTAATTAAAGGTTTAAAACACTCATAAAAGAAAGCAACATTAAATTATAGGAGCCACTAGGAGTCCTTTCTCTCTACTCAGATTTAGGAGCTCCTAGAGGTCTCTCTATTTTAGGAGATGGATAGGGAGCATAATTGGAGTTATGTGTTTTCAAATCCTCCCTAAAATTTGTCTAAGGAGGTGATTTAGGAAACCCATTGTGGATGCTCTCAGTCTCCCCACACCACAACCCACTCTCTTTTTCTCTCCCTCCCGATCTCACTCTCTGGTTCTATCTCCTTTATTCTCTCCTCCATATTGATATCCCTCTCCTTGTCTCTTATTTTCTCCCTCCCCCTCCCAACCTTTCTCTAGTTCCCTCTCATTTTCTCTCTCCCCTAATCTCCCTTATTCCCCTTCGATTCGGCAATATATATATATATAGTCCCCTTCAGTTGAGGGATCCCTCAAATAACACTATTTGAGGGATGGGGCGCTCAACCATTGGATCTGTTTTAATGAGCTTGTGTGGTTGAGATTGATTCAAACCTTTTAACCCGTTTCCTTTCTAATGACCCGCTAGAAACCCGCGTACGCTGGGAAACCAAAAGACGCCCTAAGCAAGCACGCTTGGAGCAGAAACCAAGCTGAAGAGAAAAATCAAGAGACGCGAAGCAAGAGAATCAAACATCCAAGTTGAAGAGGAGGATCCTCCATCGCGAGATTTCTGTGCGAAATAGGTATGGGTATTCCTAGGTGTGGTTGTTTCAAAATCTGAGCCATGGGTTATTGATTTGGGGGTTCTGTGATAAGTTTTGAAGAAGAGGATCCTCCATCCCAAGATTTATGTGCGAAATAGATATGGGTAAGTCTCTGCTCCTAATTGATTTGAGAGAAAAAAAAAAAGAATTTGATTCGTCTCTGCTTCTAAGAATTTTATCATTATAGGAATATTTCTTATGTTTCTATTGATTAAGAATTCTAGAATAAATGTTGTTACAAACTTTGTGGAGATGTAGAAGTGTAGGAAGGTTGTGAAGTCAGCCGTTAGCCTTGTTGCTTCTAGTTTAATGATGTGGCTCTGATAATGTGTGATTAATAGTTTGTACCCTTTGCTTAATTTAGAATGAAGTTTTGTTGGAAGTATGAAGTTTTTTCTTGGACAGTATGAAGTTTTTTGGTTAGAAGAATTTTGTTAGGTTCAGTACCTTGTTTCTTTTTCTTCAGTAAAGGTAAATATAAAGGCGTGCTAGTTTGCATTTCTTGTTAGAGCAAGAAAAAAAGTTCAAGGTTCATATTCACAACTTCTTGCTTGTAGAAGTATGAGGTTTGCTTTTACAAGTCTATGTTTTTTTCCTTCTTTAAATGTATCGGTTGTGGGCCTTGTGTTGTTGTTTAATTTCACGGTGTGAATGCAGGAAACCCAGACGACCAAGGACATGGCTAGAAAGGTGTCTGCAACAACACAAGATGTGTGTGTTCTTTTTCGGTCAAATTCGGATATTGTTCCTTCCACTACAAGGAAGTGTTTAGGTTTTTTGTAATCATGTACATGTAAAACGAAACTCAATTTTCAAGTGTCAATAAATTGTTCGTAATTATCTGTTCAAAGGTTTTTAAACTGCTGTGAAGAGGTTGAGTTTTTCCTATCATTGTCAATGGGTTAGTTTCATGAGAACCCGAAGAAGAATATTAGACTTAGCACAAACTGGAAAGAAAAAAAAAATGGAGGCATTACAGGTTGCTGCAACCTGCTCACTAAAATTGGAAGCAAGTTAAGTTTCACAATGTGTAGATTATAAGATTGCTAACTTCCTTTCACAGCCACATCTCCCTTGTGCAGAAACAAGCAAAGCACGACAGCCAAAAGGAATATTCAATTCAATAGAGAAAAAACATATAGAATGGAAAGCAGTACCCATAACTGTTTATCAATGAGAAATTCTACAATGTGAATGGTATGATCATTTTGGAGAACATTAATGAAAAATAAAACTGAATGGTATAAACCGTCATATATCAAATGGAACAAGCTTTGAGATAAAGAGGTTGGCCTTGTATTCAAATAGCCTTTTCACATAGAATTGCTTGAGAGCAGGTGCTCCTTAAATTGATTATTAACTTCAATAAATTGCACAAGTTGGCGCCAAGAACTATCATCTAAACATAAAAGTTTATATCCAACCCTAAAAGTACTGCAAACATGATCACTTGAATGAGAAGTTCCATGACAGCAAAACAAACACCACCAAAGATGTTAAATCCAAAGTACAGTAGATGGTCCAACTTCAAGACTGACATAAACGAACAAGATTACTCCATTATAAACCTGCAATGCAAGAAAAAAAAAAACAAAACAGAAAAAATGAGACTACAATTCTAGTATGGTTTCACTACAACCACAAGAACAATTGAGAAACCAAATGAATAGCTCATTAGCTGGATTTTTCTTTTCTACCAACAACAGCAATTGCTTTTCTTTTTTGTTGTTGACGTATGACGTATCTGTTTCTATTGATTAAATGAGTGTGTAATATCTCTATATGTGTACAGCTTGTTTGAGAATTAGAATAAACAACTCTGTGGAGTGCAGAAAAGTGTAGTATCAGATTTTGATCAAATCAAGAATTGCCCATTAGAACTTATATAAAGAATTCATCATTAGAACCCAAATCAAGAATTTACCATTAGAACACAAATTAAAAATTTCCCATTATAACTTATATCAAGAATTCATCAATGGAACCCAAATCAAGAACTACCCATTAGAACCTATATCCAGAATTCATCATTATAACCGAAATAAAGAATTACCCATTAGAACCCATATTAAGAATTACCCATTAGAACTCAAATCAAAACTTATCACAGAACCCCCAAATCAATAACCCATGGCTCAGATTTTGAAACAACCACACCTAGGAATACCCATACCTATTTCGCACAGAAATCTCGCGATGGAGGATCCTCCTCTTCAACTTGGATGTTTGATTCTCTTGCTTCGCGTCTCTTGATTTTTCTCTTCAGCTTGGTTTCTGCTCCAAGCGTGCTTGCTTAGGGCGTCTTTTGGTTTCCCAGCGTACGCGGGTTTCTAGCGGGTCATTAGAAAGGAAACGGGTTAAAAGGTTTGAATCAATCTCAACCACACAAGCTCATTAAAACAGATCCAATGGTTGAGCGCCCCATCCCTCAAATATTATTTGAGGGATCCCTCAACTGAAGGGGACTATATATATATATATATATATATATATATAATTTTTCTGTTATCCAGACATCCGGATTGTTTAGTGTGCGAATTCCCAAGTTATCTAGTTCCTTAGGTTCTACCTCTCAAGAGTCCGTAAGGTAAGTCCAGAACCAAACAGTAAGTCCCAGGTAGCGGCGTGAGCGGTTGCGGCACAAGAAGGTGAGAGAGAGAGAAACTCATAGGTCTTAGGTACCTTAGAGTCAGTCTTAGGAGTCACCCAAGAGTCTTTCTATACTTAGAAGTTATGTAAGAGTCTTTCTAATTAAGTAGATTTAAATTAATCACGTAAGCAAAATGAGTCACTTATTTAGAACCAATTCAGTTAATTCTTCTAGTTCTAGAACCAGTTTATGCCCAGTGCCAGACATAGTTAATGAAGAACAATTAGAATTTGAGTCAACTAGTAGTGAGTTACACTGTAATTATTGGAATATACCTAGAGTCCCTAGTAAAGAAATCTATAAGCAAAAATGGTCCATTAATGCATTTAAGGAAACTACGCATATGAAGACAGTAGAACAAGTCTATGCCTTAGGAAAAGAACATGAAACATGTCAATTACTTAATCTTGAGTCAATTAAGAAACATAGGAAAGAAGGTAATAATTTCTTGCATATAGGATTAGTTCAAGTTGCAGTTAAACCTTTAACTAAGTTAGGTCTTAATGCAGCAATTCTTTTAAGTTTAAGAGATGCTAGATTTTATGATTTCGAAGATGGTGTTTTAGGAATTATTGAGTCAAGCTTAAGTCATGGTCCAGATCATTTTGATTGTTTTCCAGATTTCAAAGTTAGCCTAAGTGATCCTCACATATTGAAAGTTTTAACTTTAAATATTAAAACGCATGGTTATAATATCTTACCAGGTAGTCAACCTCTAGCTTTAATTTATAGAATTTATTATAAAGTCACTGGTACAAATATGAATTTTCAAGCCCTTAGTAAAAGCCCAAAGAATCAAACGCTTTTAATTCAGAGTCATACGTATAATGCTAATATCACAGTTCCCAAAATGATTCACTAGTAAAAAAAACCCTTTGCGCGACGAAAATTAAACTTCGTCGCACAAAATATTACGTGACTAAATTTTGCGCAACTAAACACACATCGTCGCACAAAGTCACTTTGCGCGACGACAAAGCATCGTCGCGAAAAGTAACTTTGCATGACGAAACACTTAAATTCGGTGCACAAAGTCTTACGCGACGAAGCGTGGTTCGTCTCGTAAAGTCTTTTCAAAAATAAATTAAATAAAAAAATATTTTTAAAAATCTATGCATGGCTTTGCGCGACGAAAGACAAAAATTCGGTGCACAAAGTCTTGCGCGATGAAGTGTCATTCGTCTCGCAAAGTGTTTACAAAAATAAATAAAATAAAAAATTATTTTTAAAAATTTTTCGATGACTTTGCGCGACGAAATCATAATCTTCGTCTCGCAAAGTGTTTACAAAAATAAATAAAATAAAAATTATTTTTAAAATTTTTTGGATGACTTTGGGCGACGAAATAATAATATTCGTCTCGCAAAGTCTTTACAAAAATCAATAAAATATATTATTGTAGTTCGGATTGGGTTTTTGTTAGAAAATATATATTTTAAATTGACGATCGAATTGGTTCATTGTATTCATATAGGGTCAAGGAGTGTAGCTATAAAAAATCATCAAAATCAGAGTTGAAATAACCGTTAAATCATGATTTTTCGTTTATAACCATCGAAAAGTTTTGTCCTATTACTTGATCTTTGAATGTTTATTTTTTCCGATTTTTGGCGTATATGATCTCGAAGTATAAACAAACAAGTTTGACGGTCAAAACAATATATTCACTAACAATTAAGAGTTTATTTATACTTTTATTAAATATAACATAAGATTTTGTGGTATCAGATTTTGTGGTATCCACTAGTCTAAATATTTTAAATTGAAGATCAAATTGAGTCATTGTATTCATATAGGGTCAAGGAGTGTAGCTGTAAAAAATCATCAAAATCAGAGTTGAAATAACCATTAAATCTTGATTTTTCTTTTATAACCGTCGAAATGTTTTGTCCCATTACTTGATCTCTTAATGTTTATTTTTTCTGAAT